CTTCTCACTGCCTTGGGCCCCAGGTTTTAAAGTAGATCCAATCAAACAAAATCAAGCATCTTTGTGAAATCTTCAATATGTTATATTTAAAGGCTGAATTTTGAAGGTAGCACAAAAGTGGGAAGGAATATGGGCTTCCTTCCCATACTCCTTTTAATAGAAGAGACAAACCACTTCATCCTATTAGATGTGTGACCTTGTGCAAGTTTCTTAACCTTGGAACCTGCATTTCCCCATATATAAAATTGAAATAAAAGGTACTGGGCATTTGTGGGTGGACTAAATAAGTTATGTAGAAGTAGGTAAATAATGTTATGTAGAAGTAGGTACTGGTTTATACTGGTTCTTTTTTCCTTCCTCTTGTCACCACAAAACAGCTCTTGTTATGTTTTTATTTAATGTTATTTTTCATATTTTTAACTTAATCCTATTTTTTGATCCTCTTGACTTTTTATTTGATTATTTTTAGCCATCTTTGGGTGAGCTAAAAACTGATGTACAGAGAGTTCATATATTTACTGGGGTGTGGATTTTGGGGTTGCTGGAGAAGGTTTGAGTTTCCTTTGTGTTTCCTTCTTTTACATGAAAGAAGTTTTGTCTTTACTTTTTGCCATAAAAAGTAACAGCAATGTTATCTTAATTGGTTGCCATTTTAGACATTAAAGCTGGAAAGCATAAATCATTGACTTTTGCAACCTAAGAATTTATATCTGTTAAGTGGAAAAGTAAAGGATAGGAATTTGATTTGACTCCTTGTTCAGTGCTTTTTCTACCATATTATACTTTCATTTAAATGAAATAAAAATATTTTCACCTGAATGTCAAAGTTTGATGATTTGGTTATCAACATAGTAATGTTGATAACAAAATTTTATCACATATATTTTACTTTTTTGAATAGGTAATACATACACAGAATACTAAAGGTGTATATACAAGTAAGTTTCTCTTAGCCCTACCCCTAGCCACAGCAGGCCACAGCTACTCAATGCATATGTTCCATATATTCCTCTGTTGGTTTGCCCAAGTGGCAGTGTAAAATGTAAACATCTATGTACTTTGCTTTCTCTTCTTAAAAATGTGTGCTAGGCGTGGTGGCTCACGCCTGTAATCCCAGCTTTTTGGGAGGCTGAGGGGAAAGGATAACTTGAGCTCAGGAGTTCAAGACCAGCCTGGTAAACATAGTGAGACTTCATCTCTGTAATAATAATAATAATAATAATAATAATAATGCTAAAGGCCAGTTGTGGTTGTTTACAGCTGTAGTCCCAGCAGGAGGATTATAGACCCCAAGAGTTCAAGATGATAATGAGCTATGATTGTCTCTAAAATCTAAAACTGAAAAATAATATAAATAAATAAATAAATGCATTTTTTTTTAAGACAGAATCTTGCTCTGCTGCCCAGGCTATAGTGCAGTGACATGAACACAGCTTACTGCAGCTTTGACCTCTCTAGCTCAAGCTATTGTTCCTTCTTAGCCACCTAGGTATGTGGGACTACAGGTAGGCACCACCATGCCTGGCTAAGTTTTTAATGTTTGTAGAGATGTTGCCCAGGCTGGACTCGAACTCCTGGTCTTAAGTGATCCTCTCGCCTTGGCCTCCCAAAGTATTGGGATTTTTTATAGGCACGAGCCATGGTGCCCGGCCAATTAACTGATTTATTAACTCACTTTCTTAGCCTGTGTGTGCTGCTTTAACAAAATGCCACAAATTGAACAACTTATAAGTAATAGAAATTTATTTCTCACATTTATGAAGGCTGGGAAGTCCAGATCAAGGTGCTGGCAGGTTCATTGTCATTGAGGGCTGCTGTTTCTGCTTCTGAGATGGTACTTTGTTGCTGCACCTTCTGGAAGAGATGCATGCTGTGTTCTCACATGGCGGAAGGGATGGAAATGTTGAATGCTATGTGAAGCCTTGATTATAAAGTCCGTCTCATTCATGAGGAAGAAGCCCTCAGGATCCAATCACCTTCTAAAGGTCCTAAGTCATCATACTATTTCATTGGGGACTATGTTTCAACATGAATTTTGGAGGGACGCAAATATTCAAACTATAGCGCTCATTAATAAGTGCTTATTGAACACTATGGTCAGGCACTATTCTAGGACTTGGGAATGGAGGAGTGAACAAGATAGGAGAAAAACCATCTTCTTGGCAGGTGATTATGATAGGGGTACAAATAAGGTCTCAGACCAGAAGAGGGAGAAATGACTTCTTCAGATATAATCAGAGAGCGTTCTGGAAAAAGTGGTATTTTATGTGGATTTTAAGTGTGGTAGAAGCTCAACAGAAGAATAGGGACAAAAGGGTACTCTAGCACAAATACACTGGAATTATTTTGGTTTTGTATCTATTTTGTGTATCTATTGGTGCTTGGCAGTTCTATGTTTAAGGTTAACATTTGCTTGAAATTTTGGAAAATTAATTCCTTTTGTAAATAAATTCTGTTTCTTTGTCTTAATCATTTTGTGCTCACCTTCAAATTCATTTTCTTAGTTTGTTTTTTTTTTTGAACTAGACAGGAAAACATAATTTTTGTAGATAATTTTTACCCATTTGGCTTTTTAAAAAAAGTTATGAGTTTTCTTTTACTTTTTCTCTTATAATTTCATGTGTTGTTGTATTTAGCTGTTACTTGTTTCAATGTCGTTGTGTGCTTACATTAGAGGTTCTCAACTTTGGCTGCCCTGGAATCACGTGGAGAGTTTTAAAAATGCTAATAGTTGGGCCCCACTTGGTTCTGGGGTATGGCCTGGGCAGCAGGATTTTTAAAAGCTCCTCATTCAGGTAATTCTGCTTTGCAGCCAAGGTAGAGAAGCCATTGGCTTAAAGTATTTCAGAGGTAACTGAAACATGTTTTCTGCTTTTGGAAAGCAGGTAACTATGGTTTCAGCTGAGTAGTGGGATAAATCTGTCATTTCAAATCTCTTGCTTAGAATAAAGCTAATTAGAATTGCCATGGTAGAATGAAGTCCTTGAGTTTGTTAAAGCAGTTTGACTAAAGCATAAATGGAATTAAGTAAAGCACACATACGGATAGTATAATTTTAAGAACTTTATATTCCCATATGCCTTGGGGAAGGGATAAAAGTTCTTGTTTTCAATTTTGTACAATCAGTCATTTGGCTTATTATTTAAGTCAAAAGTTAACAAATTTGTTTATAGAATCTAGTGTAGTTAGGCAAACATTGTTTTCAAAGTCTTGTTGACTTTTGTCACCTACTTTTAATGGAATAAGCATTCTGTTACTGTAAAGGGGAGCTTTGTTTACTCCAGTAACAAGATGTTGGACAAAAAACTTGTAAACTCGAATAGTTTACAAGTTTGAGGTTTCAGGGAGCCTCCAGAAAGAAACTCAATTAAACGTTTTACTACTCTTTTTTTCTTTTCTGAGAAGTGATCTAGTATGTTTCCAGCTTGGCACTGAGAGTTGAGATCAGTTTAGAGATATTTTACCATGAATTTACTATTGAAAGTATTGCGAATTCCCAGAATATGGCCATATCTTGCGGTATGTACTGCCATAGGGCTGCAAACTTCTCATATGTCTATATATTATGTTAGCATGGGGTCTGAAAATAGTGGATCTTAATGAATAGAATAATTAGAATTGGGTTTAGAGTCCAGGTTTTCTATTTCTAAGCTGTGTTACCTTGATTTATTTGACCTATCTAGCCTTGGTTTCTATATCTGGAAAATGGGCAGAAATGATACCTAAATTCAAAGTTTGCTAATGAGATAAAATATTTTAAATGCTTAATAGAATGCCTACCTACAGTTAGTCTGTAATAAATAACAGTTCCCTAGTTTCAATATTGAATTATACTGGAGAATCATTTTAGTACAAATGATACCTGAGAACAAATAAAACCCTAAACTTCAATTAATAATGAAACATTGTTAATAATGAATATTGGGGTGGTATAGGAGTCACATTTTAGATAACTGAATGTTTGGATGTTTCTGGATAAACTTGAAAATCTGATTAAGTTGTTGATATTATACCTTTGCTTATCATAATAGGTTTTATAATTTTTCGTGTTTATAGACATTTTACAAGAACTGAAAGACTCTTACAATATGAAGGAGAAATGAGAAAGTTGATAGTACATACTGAGCAATACAGTATCATTAAGGCATAAATGCCTGTGTTCATATATTTACAATGAAAATATAAGCAAAATGTAATATAGGCCATGTTGAGATGTAGCCAGATCAAATTAGTTCATTCATTATTGCATTTCTCTGTGTGCCCAATGAAATCATCATAATAATGACCCCACCCATTTTCTGTCCTTCAAAACTGTTCTCATTTTTTAAGGCACAATTCAAGATGTGGTTTACTTTATTAAGTCATCCCCCCTACTTCCTTATAAGGGAATCATTTCTCTGCATTCTGTCAACATGTGACCTCTACCCTGCCTGGCATTTCTCACTGTCTCATATTAAAAGCAGTATTTCAGGCATTGGGTTGAAGGTTGTATGAGTTTCTAAATAAGGGACTCTGGTATTGATGTTAGAAGCATCTTCATTTTAATCTCTGTGTTGAAATTTTCATTGTAAAGATACACAAAATAATTTGTCCTTCCTAAGTTCAACTTACTTATCTGTAAGATGGGGATAAAAGCTTCTACTTCTACCTTACTGATTTGTTGAAAGATTAAATGATATAAATGCCTAAGATAGTAAGTGTTCAATAAATGGTAGTGAATATTGTTATTGTTGTTATTGTTTGTGTATAATATATTATTCATTGCATATAAGTATGACATATGACTTAAAACTTCTTCACCTACACTATGCATTCTTTCAGGATAGGAAACCATTATTTGGCATTTTGGATAATGTTTAATAAACTAATTAACAATTATTTATTGATGTCACATATTAACTTTCACCTTCCTTGATTTTTAAAAAGAATAATCTTCACATATATGAAAAAAATTTCAAAAAAGTTGTTTTCTAAATGACCTTGTTTTAAAATCACTGCAGGTACCGTATTATCCCATAAATTTGGTATCCTGAAATCTGAGGATTCTACCAAGATAATATGATAGGAACTTTCAGTGATTTGGGGCCATATCCTACTTAGACTAATGTGGAATTTCCAGATTTTCTGAGAGTTTGGTACAGCAGCACATACTGCTTGCTAATCAGCACAGGCAATAATGCCGTCTCTGCCTCAAGAAGGAGGTAAGGAAATTGACTTATGTTAAAAAATATGCTATTTTTTAAAAGTATTAAAAATTAATTAGGGGCTTTTAAAGTACCAGGATTTATAATTTCCCCTTGGGTGTGTGTGTGTGTGTGTGTGTGTGTGTGTGTGTGTGTGTGTGTGTGTGT